AGGGTAGTCTGGCAGATCAAAGAGGGTGACAACGTGCCGGAATAATGTAATGTGTGTGTAGATAGTGAGTAATGGAACTGCAGTCAGAAGTATTATTGACGTTCATTGATATAGCGTTTGTTTTAGCGTGATTGTTGAAAATAATTGTATCGTAAAGTTTTATTCGGAAAGAATAAACCAGTTTTATTAAGTAAAGACTTGTGTCGCTAAAGTTTCGTCGGAACGAAGTTACGGAAAGTTAATTAACAAACGGAGACGTATCAATACTATGAAAGTGCAGAGTAAGATAAGATGGATAAACTTTGCTATTTGTCAGGCTATTTTTCCTGCACAGCAAAGTCATATCGAGAAAGTGGTCTTTTGTAGTTTCAGTGTACCACTAAGAAAATATGCACTTAATAGTATGCCATCTGGAGTGATGTTCTCATGACACCTAAGAACCGGGTGATTTGCTTGCAGGAAGAAAAGCACTTAACCACTGTTTATTGACATACATGCAGCTGGTATAGTTATATGTTTATAGTAGTAAGAAAGGTTGCTAAAAATGCTGAAGTAAAATGCACTGTATTTTAGATAGTAAGTATGAAATCTGTGGACCATGAGACCTACAGTTATGAGCTACCATGAACTTGGGATGACTATGACTACCCTAAACTAATGAGTCATCAACTGCACATAACAGCCTTTACTACTGTGCCAAATAACTAAGTAGACTTTGAGTTGCAAAAGTTTGAAAAACCCTGGTCTATGTAATGATAGCTTGGGAAACTTCAATGCAGAATTAGAGAGTGCATTTCCCTTATCATCACTCTACACTGAAACCTGAACTCTTTACCTTTTTCTCAGTATATTGACCAGTGATGACATCATTGCTTTTGATCTTAAAATGAAACTAAAGCTTAAAACATCATTCTGACTTGTAACTCTTGTACAGAGTAAAAGTAATAGATTTTTCACTCATGCTTTTAAGTTTAAAAAACGTTTTATGGCAATCTTAGAAGATGTCTTAGATTATGGCCTTACCCTAACTGTTAAGCTGGAAATTAAGTTCACCAATGCAGTTGCTCCCATATCCATGGACAATCCCCATTTTCCAGATCATCACATTATAGATGGGGATAGAGATGAGATGTTGAAGGGTAGGAGCGATAGGTCCATTTCTAACCTCCACAAGCCAGCTGGAGTCATGTCAAAGTAGCCTCTGACTTCAGCAACTTAGCTGCCTTTCCTTCTCCAGTACACACAAAAAATTTGACACAGCATTGTCTGTCCCACTTGAAGGTACTTTCAATAACTTAACATTAAGTGAAAAGAAAGACATTTTATAATAAACTTTTACTTTGTACCCAGAAAACTAAAGTTTGTAATTTCACAGTAATTTTAAAATTAAAAAAATATTTTATTGTTTTCCTTGGATACCATATAATTCTTATTGTGTTTGACATAAATTGCCATATTTTTTTTCTATTTCTTCAAGGTGAATGTAAATTCTGAACTTGTGTAGCATAGAGATTAACTGGCTTTTCATTTTCAGTTAATCTAAAGTTCTTCCTTTATTCTATTTTAGCTCTATCAACCAAGTTTGAAGTATCAGTCATTGATGATGAGTATGTACACAGAGCAGGCCTACTTGGAGCCTTTGGTTATCTTGCAATTACTGACAAAAAGCTTGTGTTGACCAATCCAAAAACAGGTGATGTGATCCAGGAATGGTACTTCAACACCTTATGTCGCTTTGCACTGTTAGATCAAGAACAGGAAGATGATACAGGGAAAATCTTTTCTATAGATATGAGCAAGTAAGCAGAACATTTTTTGTTGAAAATTTGTCAAATTGTGAAGGGTCATATAATCTAAAACGTATATAAAACAGATTAGCTTACTAACATTTTTGCAGCATATTACTAAATGATTTACCTAATATTCATTATTATTCATTATGACTAATTAAGTTATACTGTATCACTTATAGAGAAAGTTCCACTGGTAGTGGTCGAATGTTTTTCTACAGTACTCAAGGGAGAGAGATTCTTCAAAAAGCAAATAAGATTATTCAGCAACTTTTGGAGGGATCAGTCACAGAGAAAACAAAAGACAGTCAAGATCTTCAAGGAATAGTTCAAACATGGGAAGCTGAAGATTACTACAAGAGACCTAATCCTGAAACACGCAGCATTTTAGATTGTCCTAATTTCATCTTCAACAAGTCACTCACACTTACTGACCACACCTTTAAGGAAAACAACTTGCGAATCCACAGTAAGCCTAGACCTAACACATTATCTTGGGCATCTCTGTCAACACACTCAGATTCTGGAATTTCAGGTTGCTCAGATCCACTATGTTGGAGCCTTTCTTCTAATCATACAACTGGACAAAGTTTTCCAGAAATCATGAACTGCAGTTTAACTTCACTTCTAAGTGAACATTATGACAATGAGGACTACAGCAGTGATTCCTCTAGTATTTCTTCCATATCAGCCACACCAGAAGAAAGCCTTCATGAGTCATCAGAAGCTGTTTTAATGAAAAACGTTTTTCATGATAGCAAAGCAACAAATAGTCAGCTGGGAATAGCTGATTTATTAGGTAAAAAACTACAGAACCCTAAGAATTTTCAATATGAAAATTCTAAAACTAAAATGAAAATTACAGATCCAACATATAACCTAAATACCAATGTTCAAAATACACCTTCTACAGAAAAAAATAAAGTTTATTGTGAACTTAACAGACAGAGGTCATATGAAAACATCTTTCTTAATCACTACAGCTATTCTTTCCCATCAAATGAACTGCAAGGAGCACTTTCAGAGTCATCTTTAGAAGAAAATCAGAGTTTCTTGACACTGTCTGCTTTTGCAGACCCAGATTGGTCCAGAAGGACATCTTTAGCTTCCCAAAGTTCTCACACATATGCAGAAGTTGGATCGGGGTTATCATCAAAACGTCCTAGCATTGCAAAAGAGGGAATTTATGAAGACATAGACGAATTCAGAGAGGAGCTGTTCAACAGACTATCAGGTAAAGATAATGCTGATATTGAAAAACCTCCATTACCACCCAAGGTAATTTCTAGGAATGAATGCTCAACTACAGGATATAAGATATCTTTTTGTCAAGAAATTATTGTTCCAGAATCTATTTGTGGCAACAGTTCCAAAACTGAAGTGGAAGAAACTATGATGAATGCAACAGTTCCCAAATGTAACATTTTGCCCAAACTTTGGCAAATTGAAAGGAAACAAAAATATCCAACAAGTACAAAAATCAAACTAGACACTCATAAAAAAAGAGAAGGTACATCAGACAGAAATGGAAAATCAAACAATCACCACCTAGAAGAAGATTCCTTTAGGTGGTTATCATTCAAAAATCATTCTTCAGAGGGAAACATAATTTCAGCAGTTGAAAAGTGTCAATGTAACATTTTACAATTTTCAACACTGCCAAGTTATAATTCTTTGCATGCCTCAGACAACTGCAATTTGCAACAGGCACAGAAGAGAGAGCTTTGTAAGGAAAACTCTTGGCCCATTTATTCTCATCTACGTTTTAACACTTCACCTGAAGTACAACAAATCCAATCAGTGCCATCCCTTTTATCAGAGCTAGACTGCCTAGAACCAAAGCACAAAGACTTAGGTAAATTTCTTCAAAACCAAAATGGGCTCTTCTGTAAAACACTCTCAAACAATGTTTACAAGCATATGCTAGATAAGAATTCTTCAGAAGCCTTTACTGAAACACAGTCTAATATCCTTCACAATCTTCCTATAGTTAAAATGAATCAACTTCTCTCATCTCCAGAGAGTCCAGATGAGCCTAATGGTGGGTTTTCAAATTATTCAAGTCTTGTAGCTAACCAGGAGGACTACTGTTACATGCTGCCATTAGTTGAAGTTTACAAGGTCACACACCTTTCCACAGCCAAAAGTAAACATACTAATTCTTGGTCTAACAGCAAACTTCAAAATGAGCCACATGAAAATGGATATGTAGAAATGAAATGAGTTATAAATACTCAGTAATCACAAATATGTAGAAACCCTATTTGCAATGTTGGTATTTGTTCAGGTAGACAATTTTAAGACTACACCAAAGCCTGAAGCTTTAGAAACCTGCTTAGAAATATACAAAAAGGGAATACAATGATTTCTAATACTCATTACCCAAACTTCTGAAGTTAACTATTCACAATGTTAAATAAGCAGACAGCCTACTGTTTTATGCTGCCATTTGATAAGATAAGCAATGTTTTGTGAGCTTCACCTCCACCAGAAGCAGACAGTATGTTTTGTTAATGAACTGAAACAGTTTTCATATGTGAAATTCAAGATCATATAATAAGTTTAAAAGTTACTTGAGAACATTACGAGAAATAATTATGATTACCCACTTACATTTTAAGTAAAAAAATTATCAGTCCTTTCAAAATCTGTTGTTAAGTCTACCTCAATAATAAGAATAAATTTTGGAGCATTTATGTACTTCTCTGAGATTAAACTGTTGAGATTCAGGAGAGTAATATTAAGAATTCTAGGTCATTCAAATATTATATTTATCAAGATTTATTCTCAGTAAAGTTATGGAGTCTTTAAATGTAAAAAATGCATACTAAACCTTTCCTACTAAAGATTAGTCATATTATTTCATAATGTTAACAATCTGAAATTTCAGAATTATTATTCCAATAACATATTTCTTAGATGCTTGAGATGGGTACAAAAATTTTGATTTACAAAAAATGCCTCATTACATTGAACTTCACCAAATCAAACTTCAAAAAATAAAATATATATATACAGACACACACAGATATAAGTCATTAAAAATTAGAAAATTACAAAGTTCAAAATAAACATGCAAATAGTCTAAGACAACCAAAATAGAAAAAAAAATATTTTGGTGAGTGACACTCTGGAAATGTGTCTTGTATTGTTATCTTGATTTTAATTATACTGTTATATTTTTAGTTTTGGTTGACCATCTTTTAAGGCAAATTTAATATATTACTCTTCAAATGAGGTATCTTCTTTTGAATTACTTTCAGCTTTAGTGCAGTGTTTTTCTTGTATTAACTCTGTACAAATTGTTTATAAGTATTTCAGATAAAATAACTGTTTGAGATGGCATTTTATACATCAAATAAAAATAATTTAGATATCTATTTTACCTATTCTGTAAAATTTCAGTAAAACAGGTCTTTGACAGTTGGTGTACCTAATTGCTAAGGATCTACTTCAGAGTTCTAATGCAGCTTTGCATCACACATCTTCTTACCATGTTTTTCTCATTCTATGCTTTCAGAAAGTAAACTGAAAATGATCACACTGAAACAAATATATAATAACAACATAAAGCTATGGTAATCATTGCAATGCAACAGAATTCATCGGTCTTTAAGAGACTTAGCAACTAGAAACAACTATTTAGCCTCTTATCTACACACTAGGCAGCAAGGGAGATGTATATGGTTCATGCAGTAAATTACTGAATTAAGAGCCTTTCTAAATATACTGAACTGAGATATAGAAGTGGTATTTTAATACCAATTTTACATTTTTAAATAATTTACTGAAAAATCGACTTCATCCATAATAACTCAATATTATTCCATGTATTAAAATACTGTTGAGGTTAAATTGATAATGTTTTAGAATACTTTTAATGCAGGTATAGTTAGTTATATTAACAATAGACTTAATATACAAATGCATTTGCTCATTCCATAGTTAGTTATGTAACTGGATTCCTGCTAATATGTGAAATTAAGCTTGCATCTTTTTTTCATTATCCACATTTTTAAAATGTTACGTTTAAACCAGTGTCTATCTAAAGCTCACCACATATCATAAGTGGTGAAAAGACAGAATAAAAACTAACTGTGGTAATTTTCAAGTTAGTTTTATTAACATACATTAATCATTAATGAGAAATCTCTAGATCTATGTTTCGTGTAAGGTTTAGAGAACTGCTAGAGAAACAAAGAAATCTCATACATGTTTTAAGTACTCAGGATGTATCCTTTTTAGTAATTTTAAGTTCTTTGATTATTTTAATGCTAGTTAAACATTCTTTAAATTTCATTATTTTCTTAAGCTACCTATTTAACTGTACAATGTTTGACTCTCTTTCATTATTTGTAATTTTCCTTAATTTATCACTTATATGTTTAACATGATTTTTTATACATGGATAATGATTCAGAAAATCAATAAAATCTGTGAAGCACCAACAAACCTGTGATGATACTTATTTTCAACTACAAGACAGTCTTATTATACAAAAGGAAACCAGAAGGTATTAAACCATAAGTAATAGTTGTTTCATAACAGAAGTACATTGTTATTTTTAAAATGCTTTATACAAACTTCATTCAACAAACTACATTTTTAGATGAACAGTTGTTTCTATCTTTCATAAATACTACTAAAGAGTGACAATGAAATGCTTAAAATGAAATAATTTCAATATGGTCATAATTAATCATGGAAAGACTACTTTGATATAATATCACCGTATTAGATATTAAAATATTCATATGTTTTCACAGTAAAAGATGTATAGAGAAACTATTGTTGCGTCATCGAGGTCACGTGACTGGTGTGGCGCCCTCTATTTTCTAGAACTATCTTGTTTTTTCATGAATGCTCTAGTATTTGCTAGATGGGGTAGGCGGGTATATATAAGATGGGGAAAACGTGACGCGGGAGGGTAATGTAATGTGTGTGCAGATAGTGAGTAATTGAACTGCAGTCAGAGAGAGACGTATTGTTGTAGTTAACGTTCGTTCGTTATTATAGTTTGTTATAACGCGACTGTTGAGAATAAGTGTATCGGTAAAGTTGTATTCGGAAAGAATAAACCAGTTTTATTAAGTAAAGAACTTGTGTCGCTTAAGTTTCGTCGGAACGAAGTTACGGAAAATTAATTAACACACGGAGACGTAACACTACTATACTGGACTCGCCTCCTTAGTACATATTTATTGATCGTGACGAACTTACTTACACATTAAAAAGCCTCAAAATAATAATAAAAACTAAGGTTTTTACGGCAAACAGGCTTTCTCAAACCAATATAAGCAATAATCCTGCAATATATATATATATAATCAGACGGCATGATATTTCAATGGGTAATATAGTTTGGTTATAAGGTGCAAACGCTGTGTGAATTTAACTAGAGCGTAATTTGTTTACCAAAGTTTTAATTTATGTAACCTGTTCCGCAAAAACTGTATTATATGCCATTACCATCATTGCTGTTCTTCAACGTGATAATTTGCCAAACACAGGGTGGCGCAACAAAGTTGTCCAGAGTTGATGTATAGACCATACGGAGCCGCTAAGCCTATTTTAATCGCTACTCTCGTAACGACACACGTTCTTTAAGTTCGTGTAAGTTGTTTACTAAATTCCGATAACAGCGGCATTTTTTTTTTCTGTCGTTGTTATTTTTGTTTTCTTTACTCGGTAAAAACAAATGTAAACCCCAAGAAATTCATTGTTATTAATATACAACACTTCTAGGAAGGCGGTTATTTTGTTGAGCAAGGCCTTTAACAACGTGTTACATGTATGTCAGTCACATAATGATATTGGCCTAAATGTCAAGATTGCAATTGGAGAAAGACATTCTGGGATATTGGGCGTTTGCTGATTATGTTCGTAACTAAATATGTATTTATTTGGTACTGTAGGATATTTGGCCTATATAAAATTATTGCAATAAAAAAATTCGCATTTTATACACTGAGAAAATCTAAGGACAATAAAACCATTTAGTTGTTGTTTTTTTTTCATTTCAAAGAAATTAATAACCTCCAATTAAGGTGGAACATAGGGATATCGCATCCGTGGCGTTATTAACCAAGATAAGTAAACCAAAGAACCACGGTTTCATACATATTATATTGGAGAGTTTGCCTTATTTATTTGTTGCTATGCCCATTAGCGATGTGAGGCCCCAGACTTGCCACTGGGGGGCTTTACTGAAGAGTGAATAGATCATAGGCAGAATAAAATTCATAATTGCGCAGAGCTTACATAAGTTTAGATCAAACGAAACTCTGACTCTAGAGCCACGTGAAGTATTCTAGAAAATTTCAAAATTTTCAGTACCCCAGTCATTGTCCGGCAATAAAAAGAAATCGATGCTATTTTTTTTTTTTATTTTTTTTTTTTTGTAGGGGTGCTAATGTGAAACGCTCAGTACGCACATTTTTGCAAAGTTTGATTGTTAAAAAGATTAATCTGCTTTAAAATGGCTTTCAAAACAACTTGTATTTAGCCATTATTTGCCGTTAAGGGAAAGGAGCTTCAAAAGTAAAAATCGTATGAAGTGAGGTAGCGAATGAGGGACTGAGTGCTTGGAACTTTGGCGATATATATTAATCCTAGCACAAGTGGCATAAAGAAAATAATCCAATCCTCATCTAATTAGCTGGGGCAATTGTCTACTTCTTTTTATTTTTGAATCAATATTTATTCTTGAAAGGATGCCACACCAGCCGTGAATAAGAAAGAACATCGATGAATAAAAATTCAAAAACACCCTCCGCCCCTTCACCCTGGTAACTAGAAGTATCATCCAGTGTCACTGCTGCTTCCAGCTCTTTCTCACACATTATCATCTTTATTAAAGTAGCATAATTTCCAATCCAATGTAATCTACTTGACAGTGTGTATTAGATTGGCAATATCCTGATCTGCATATCGCTTCCTCGTATGAGTTGCTAAGTATCTAAGCATCTAAATTCGGCTTTAGCTCAAAGAGTGTTGGTGATATTTCAAACACAGCAAAATAAGCAACTTACAGTCCGGACAAGATTTACTCATTACAAACACGGTGCCTGCATCTGGCCTAAAAAAACTAAGCAGTTGGATTCTGAACAAGATTCAACCCTTTACAAAATACTTTAACTTTATCACACCTAAAAACTCTAGGCAAATAGAGTCCGAACAAGATTCAACCCACTATAACATATTTCAGCTTTATCACATTTGAAAACTCCGTGGTGATATAGTCTAAAGAATAATTAACCCGTTACAAAATATCGTAGCTTTATCACATCTAAAAACTCCAGACAGATGGAGCTCGAGCAAGATCTAATCCATTAACAAAATACTTTGTCTTTATCACGCCAAAAACTCCAGGTAGATGAAGTACGAACAAGACCCGATTCATTACAAAATACTCTTACTTTTGCACTCTTAAAAACTCAGGCAAGTGGAGTCCAAACACGTTTAAAACCTTTCACAAATTATACTACCTTTATCACGCCCAAAAAAAACTAGGCAGATGGAGTCCGAACAAAGTTTAACCCATTAAAAATACTCAAAAACACCAAGCAAATGGAGTCCAAATAATATTTGACCTATTACAAAATATTACTTTTATCAGAGCCAAAAACTCCAAGCAGGTGGAGTACGAACAAGATTTAAACAATTGCAAAATATTCTAGCTTCCTCACACCCAAAATTCCACGAAGGAGTACAAAAAAAATCTAACCCCTTATAAAGTTCTATAGCTTTACCACACCTAA